GGTTGAATGTACAAATTCCCCCTTGGGATTTCTTATTTTCTCTATATCCGATCAAAGATATTGATCCATTCAGACACTATACTAGCAATGGGGGTTTGTGTATGAGCGTCTTCCTGGCAATCAAGGGGTTAAATATTCGTCATAAATTTAAGCCAAAATCTATTCTGCAACATGTCTTTGCTAAATAAAATCCTAGTATATGTAAATGAATTGGTTTACGTGAAAGTTATAGCGTCTACAAATGGCGGTATATATACTGGATTTTTTTTTATACTAATAATGGCGGCGTTCAGTGACTTATGGCGCCGATCAACGACTTATGGCGGGACTGTGGCGGACATTCTAACACTGGGGGGAACTGACTTGGGGTCACTGACATCCCCAGTGACACCGATACAGTGATCAGTGCAAAAAAAAAAAACCACTGACACTGTACTAACGGCACTGGGGAGGAAGGGGTTAACATTTGGAGGCAAAGGGTTAACTGTGTGAGGGGAGTGTTTTACTAGGGGGCGTTCTCCACAGTAACACACTGTTCCGGACAGCTCTGCACAGAGTAGCGGATCAGTGTGCTCACTGTCCCTCCATGTCAGTGTTTGCCGGTAATCGCCGGGCTCCGGCGGGTACCGTAATCACCGGCCGGTACCCTGTGATTGACACCCACAGCCACGATCGGTGGCGCGTGTAAGGCAATCGCGTGCGCCCCCTACCCGAAATGCAAAATTACGTATATATGTGATTTTGCGCAGTGGCTGGTCAGCAACCAGTTAAAGTGTGTTAAGCAAGTTTATTTTGCTCATCCTAATTCAGGTTGACTTTTACTAATCCAACACCTGTAGAAGCAGGGAAAGGACCCGGAGTAAGGCTTACCAGAGATACAATTTCAGTCTGGCATATAAACGTATTATAAGTAGAATATCACATATCCAAACGTTCACGCACATGTAGAATTGATGTTTATTTTCAATAAAAAACTGTTTGTAGCATGGAAAAGTCTGTTATTGTGTTTTTCTTTTAAGACAAAATATGTTAATTAGTTCGAACAACTGTAAGAGTTGTTTTTTCTAAACTAAAACCTCATTATTCAGATTTAATTGCAGTGCTGGCACCTTGAAATAACTAAGTTGGTTTTGTGTTGCAGTTTGGGCACTCTGACTCAAAAAGGTTCCCCATCACTGCTCTAGGAGATCCTTTTACTGTATATTTGCAACCCTTGCTCCTGCAATCTTGGACAGCTGAAACAGGTTTCACTGGTTTTCAACAGAATTAAAGTATCTATAGGTTAAATCAATAACATATATAGTTGTGCTCAAAAGTTTGCATACCCTGGCAGAAATTGATATTGAAAATATGACTGATCATGCCAAAAAATGCTCTTTTATTGAAGCATGATGATCATATGAAGCCATTTATTATCAAATAGTTGTTTGGCTCCTTTTTAAATCAGAATGATAACAAAAATCACACCAATGGCCATAAGTTTACATACTCTTTAGATACTTTTTATGTCCTTTTCCATCTTTATAAAGTTCCATTACCTTGTTATGCAGGACTTTTGACAGTTCTTTTCTGATCCCCAAGGCTCGGTATCTACCCTAGTCAGTGCTTCCACGTAAGAGCTAACAAACTCCGACTATTTATACACTGACACTAATTGCAATTTAAAAAGCCACAGATGTGGGACATTAACCTCTAATTGGCATTTTAACCCTTGTGTGTCACCTTGTGTGTCTGTACCAAGGCCAAACATTCCAGGGTATGTAAACGTTTTGGGTGATTTCTGTTATCATTATCATTTAAAAAGGAGCCAAACAACTATTTGATAATAAATGGATTCATATGATTATCATCCTTCAATAAGAGAGCATTTTTGGCATAATCAGTCATATTTACAATATCAATGCCAAAATTTCACAATGTCTGCCAGGGTATGCAAACTTTAGAGCACAACTGTATATCATACAGTCTGCTACTAGTATTACCACCACAATTTTTTTTTTTTCCTTCTGTAATGCAATGCAACAACAATGCAGTGGCAGACTGCAGGCTCAAAACCTGGTTACATTTTAAGCAATGCATGCAGAGACAGTCATGGCCAAAAATATTGGCACCCCTGCATTTCTGTCAGATAATGCACCACTTCGCCCAGAAAACTGATGCAATTACAAATGTTTAGGCATTCTCATGTTTATTTCTTTTGTTTGTATTGGTACGACACAAAAAAAGTGGAGAAACAAAAAGCCAAATCTGACACATTCCAAGCAAAAAGGCCAACAATGGACTGGGCAAAATTGTTGGCACCCTCATTTTAATATTTGGTAGCATACCCCTTAGAAAAAAATAACTGAAATCAAATCAATCGCTTCCTGTAACCATCAATGAGTTTCTTACACCTCTCTACTGGAATTCTGGACCATTCTTCTTTGTTCTTTCTTCTACTGCTCCAGGTCTGTCAGCTTGGAAGGGTTCCTTTTTCCCAACTGCTGTTTTAAGTCATCTCCACAGGTCTATGGATTGAGATCTGGACTCATTGCTGCCCAGTTCAGTACTCTCCAGAGCTTTGTCTGAAACCATTTCTGGGTGCTTTTTGACATGTGTTTTGGGTCATTGTCCTGCTGTAAGACATATGACCTGATGGAGACCCAACTTTCTGACACCGGGCCCTACATTGCACCCTAGAATTCTATGGTAGTTTTCAGATTTCATAATGCTATGCACACAGTCAAGTCATCCAGTGTCTGAAGCAGCAAAGCAACCCTGAAATACCAGTGAACTGCCACCATGTTTGACGGTAGGGACTGTATTCTTTTCTATACAGGCCTCATTTCTTTTTCAGAAAACAGTAGAATGATGGGTTTTACCAAAAAGCTGTCAATTTGTTTCGTCTGCCCACAGCACATTCTCCCAAAAGGATCTTGGTTTCCTCAGGTAAGTTTTGGCAAATTGCAGTCTGGCTTTTTTATGTTTCTGTGTCAGCAGTGGGGTCCTCCTGGGTCTGCTACATAAGCATTCCTTTTCATTAAGATGGAGACATATAGTGCGAGCTGACACAGTTGTACCCTGTGCTTGAAGGTCACCTTGAATTTTTCTGGAAGTTGAGGTTCTTTATCCACCATTTGAACAATTCTTCGTTGCAATCTTTGAACAATTTTTCTCTTTCATCCACGTCCAGGGAGATTAGCTACAGTTACATAGTTAGTTAGTCTGGCTGAAAAAAGACAGAAGTCCATCCAGTTCAACCATTGAAAAAACAACAACAAAAAAGTTATAATCCTATACCCACAGTTGATCCAGAGGAAGACAAAAAAACCCCCAGAAAAGCATGATCCAATTTGCTCCTGCAGGGAAAAGAGAATTCCTTCCTGATCCCCCGAGAGGCAATCAGATATTCCCTGGATCACCTTTACCTATAAATGTTAGTATCCATTTATATTCTGTGTATCTAGGAAAGAATCCAGGCATTTTTAAAGCAATACAGTGTCATGGGCTATTTGACAATGTTGCGCACAGTGGACACTGGGACATTAAAATCTGTTAATTGATACAGGTGAGTTTAATTAGAAGTTACAGGAGCATCACAAACTTGGAAGGCAATTATTTTTTACAATTTTGAGAAGGTGCCAGTAACTTTGTCCAGTCCATTTTTGGGGTTTTCAATGGAACGTGTTAGATTTGGCTTCTTGTTTCTCCACTTTTTTGTGTCATACCAATACAAAGAAAAGTAATAAACATGAGAATGTTTAAACATTTGTAATTGCAATAATTTCTGGGTTAAGTGGCGCATTATCTGACAGAAATGCGGGGTGGGGGCAATATTTTTGGCCATGACTGTATTCACTGTAGGTGGTGCTAAGAATACATACCATAGTAAAATGGATATCACCCATCACTTGATCACACCAAAAGAAATACTGTATGTCACCCCAGCTACCACTGCATGGCTTTCCTGTGCACTGTGCAAAAACAGTAATGAAAGTAACATTCCTGTAGTCCTCAGAAGTAACTTGTGATGTGTTGGAAGTTATCAGCAATGACGTTTACAGCGTAAAGAGATTGCAAAGGTACGTAACAAACATGTTATACCTACCTGCTCTGTGCAATGGTTTTGCACAAATCAGCCCTGATCCTACTCTTCTGGAGCCCCTGCTGGCACTCCTCCCCTCTCCCCTCCCTTCTGAGTGCTCCCATAGCAAGCAACTTGCTATGCGAGCTTGAATCCTTGCTATGTGAGCTTGACACAAAGCAGCTCAACCCCGCATCCACTCTCCCCTCACAGGCTGTGACCGACAGCAGGAGCTAATGGCTTCCACTGCTGCCTGTATCTAGCAAGGAGAGAAAGAGAAGCGAGAGATGCTGCTCTTGGGCACAGTGCTGGATCGAGAACAGACCCAGGTATCTGAGGTGGGGGGGGGGGTTTACTGGGGGGAGCTGAACACAGAAGGTTTTTTACCTTAATACAGAGAATGCAATAGGGTCATAAACCTTCTGCCTTTACAACCACTTTAATATGTTGGCAGTCCAAAGCAATTGCTTGACACTTGGAAGCACTCTCAACAGGTCTTTTTTTTTTAACATGGCAGATCTTTACTCACAGGAAAGCAGTAAAAGCGGCTTTCAGGAAGGGTGACAGGTCCAAAACGTGGAATTGTGTGATCTGGGGATTGACTACGTTTTGTTAGTCTTTCCAACATATATGGTAATTGGAGGTGTAGATGAGCTTAGTGAGTTTTAAGACATTTTTTTTAATAACATAGATTTTATATTTGTATATAAACAACTAAACTATGCGTATATATAATGAGCTCAATTAAGTGCACATATTTATTTATTGTAAGCACATGTACATGTAGAGCAAATGACACAGTCAGAAACCATAAGAATTTCAAAGTAGTTTGGTCCTTAGAACACAAGAATGACCAAACAATCCACACAAATATTGAATAAATTGATTGTATGCTTGTTTTCAATGTGATTAGGTAAGAGTTTCACTCAAAGGCTCTTTATGTCACTTCTATGTTAGTAATTTTGTTAGTAACTCTGGATCTCCGAGGGATGCATTCCAGATCATATCGACTTTCATAGATGGTGGGACATATTTGCCACTGGTTGTTTCTATAGATGCCCAGGTAAGTGTACACATCTGGCTTGTAAGTTAGTAGGCATTTCACACCTGAGCTGCGGATAACAGCGTCTGTTTGCATGATGCTTTCCTCATCTGTAAAGTCACTTGTATACACACATATAACATGTTTGCTATCTGGCTGATAAGGACTTACTTTTGCTACGCTAAGGCGACCTTCTATCACTGCAGTGGCTATTCCACGCCATGCATGGTCAACTTTAAAGCCTGTGTCTAAATGCATCAGCCATTTTCCAGATATTACACCATAATTAAGCGCCAGTTCTCGCACAAGTTCATAGTTGATTTTGCGTCCTGTGCTCTGAAGCTTGTCCCAGGCATCCTGAAGTTCTTTTCCACCTTCAATCTGTGGACAATAACCAGGGCCATACACAGCCAACCACCCCACTGGTCCAGATCCTTCCTCAGGATTACCAAAACGAGAGACCCTGGAAGGACGATACGTTTCTAGCCACTCTTCAAACTCAGCACGTGGAGTCTTTCTTGCATCAAAAATTATCCAGGGGTCCATATCAGCAGCCATTGCTTCTGCAGCATGGTCTTCTGATCCTTTTGACCACCTCTCTCCTTCCTCGTAATCTGCCATTTTTGTACAGCTATCATGACAAAAACAGAAACACTGTTATTTTTACTAGATTTTTATTTCATAAACATACCTACCGAAATGGAAAACACATTATTGATCTGGATAATGTACAGTGAAGGAAATAAGTATATGATCCCCTGCTGATTTTGAATGTTTGCCCACTCACAAAGAAATGATCAGTCTAAAAATAGAATGGTAGGTGTATTGTAATACTGAGAGACAGGATAGCAACAAAAAATTTAAAAGAAATGCATGTCTAACAAATTATGCACTGATTTGCATGTTCATGAGGGAAATAAGTATTTGATCCCCTATCATTCAGCAGGATTTCAGGCTACCAGGTGTCTTTCATACAGGTAACAAGCTGAAATTAGACGTAATCTCTTAAAGGGAGTGCTGCTAATCTCATTTTGTTACCTGTATAAAAGACACCTGTCCACAGGAGCAATCAAACAATCAGAATCCAAACTCTCCACCATGGCAAAGACCAAAGAGCTGTCCAAGGATGTCAAGTACAAGATTGTAGACCTACACAAGGCTGGACTGGGCTACCAAACTATCGCCAAGCAGCTTGGTAAGAAGGTGACAACAGTTGGTGCAATCATTCGCAAATGGAAGAAACACAAAACAACTGTCAGTCTCCCTAGGTCTGGTGCACCATGCAAGATCTCGCCTCGTGGAGTGTCAATGATCATGAGAGCAGTGAGGAATCATCCCAGAACTACACGTGAGGATCTTGTCAATGATCTCCAGGCAGATGGGACCACAGTCACGAAGAAAACAAAAGGTAACACTACGCCGACAAGTATTGAAATCCTGCAGTGCCTGCAAGGTCACTCTGCTCAAGAAAGCACATGTCCAGGCCCATCTGAAGTTTGCCACTGAACATCTGAATGATGCAGAGGAGGACTGGTTGAAAGTGTTGTGGTCAGATGAGACCAAAATCGAGCTCTTTGGCATCAACTCAACTCGCCATGTTTGGAGGAGGAGGAATGCTGCCTATGACCCCAAGAACACCATCCCAACTGTCAAACATGGTAGTGAAAACATTCTACTTTGGGGGCGTTTTTCTGCTAAGGGGACAGGACAACTGCCCCGCATCAAAGGGACGATGGACGGGGCAATGTACCGTCAAATCTTGGGCGAGAACCTTCTTCCCTCAGCCAGGGCATTAAAACTGGGTCATGGATGGGTGTTCCAGCATGACCATGACCCAAAACACACGGCCAAGGCAACAAAGGAGTGGCTCAAGAAGAAGCACACTAAAGTCCTGGAGTGGCCTAGCCAGTCTCCAAACCTTAATCCTTAAACCTAAATCTGTGGAGGGAGCTGAAAGTTCGAGTTGCCAAACGTCAGCCACCAAACCTTAATGACTTGGAGGGGATCTTCTAAGAGGAGTGGGCCAAAATCCCTCCTGAATGTGTGCAAACCCGATGGCCAACTACAGGAAACGTCTGACCTTTGTGATTACCAACAAGGGATTTGCCACCAAGTACTAAGTCATGTTTTGTGAAGGGAATCAAATACTTATTTCCCTCATGAACAAGCAAATCAGTGCATAATTTGTTAGACATGAATTTCTTTTTAAGTTTTTCTTCCAATTCTGTCTCTCAGTGTTACAATACACCTACCATTCCATTTTTAGACTGATCATTTCTTTGTGTGTGGGCAAACATTCAAAATCAGCAGGGGATCAAATACTTACTTCCTTCACTGTATCTTTATCCAGGAGTTTATTTATGGAGTTGGCAAGACATGCATTAGTTTTGTTGTGTGATTTAAAAAATAATGCACTTTGCCTTTGCTGGATTGACACAATGTTTCTCAACCTTTTTATTCTTGGTGAAAAGTTTGAGATTTGGGGGAACCCCTGAAACAAATTTCAGATCTACAGCTCATGGAACATTGGATCTGATCAGCGAGCCGTAGATCTAACATTTAACAAACAAATGCAGAGCAGTGAAGGGAAGCTTCTGTTATAATATGCCTTTTCCCCTTGATTCCCGCTAGCCCTCCTCTCATCCATCATAGGTGATATCCCATACAAAAGCCTGGTACAGACAGGAGTACCTGTGGGGAACAGTGGAGTAATTAACAGTATACTTCCCTACACCACTCTGCAAACACAAAACACAGGGTTTCTCAAATGGGGTTATACTGCAAATCTATAGTGTCGCAGAGGTATATCCACCCAATGTTGTTTTCAGTACGCACTGACAGTGCACATTGATACCTGATGCCTCCTCTGTAGTTGTGACTCCTGTGAACTCAAGAGGGTGGCACTGAGAGGAGTGAACAGAGCAAGAACATGTGGCTGGATCAGGAGGTGACATCCTGTGTATGGTAACAGTGAATGCAGACTGTGGAAGGAGGAAGCAGAGAGTGGGAGCATGCGGGTGAATGTAGCAGGAGGTGACATCTAGTATATGGCAGCACTGAATGGAGACTGCAGAGTGGGGGAGCAAAAGGCAGGGGAACGTTGCTGGATGAAAAATGTAGCATGCGCTGAGATCATAATAGCTTTATGTACACTTATGGCATAACACAAAGCTATTATGATCTCACCTCCTGCTACATTTAGTCTCATCCAGCTGTGTGCTCCCCATCTTTGCATTCTGCATCTTTGCTACCATACACTGGATGCCACCTCCTGGTTTAGCTCCCTCTCCCTGCTCAACCCCCAGTCTGTATTAACTGCGGTTTTATATATACAATGCTCACACTCTCTGCCCCCCTCTCTGGATTACACTGCTGCCATACACATACAGTACTTACTGTAGGCACTTTGCCCCTCTCTGACTTTGGTCACTGAACAATGTTTTGTAAATGTTTAAAGTAACCATAGATAATAATAAAAGATGTTTAATATTAAGAACTAAATTGGAAGCTTAATTCACTTATCACAAAGGTGTAAAACAAAAACTTAATTTACCTCCTCTGACTGCACCAAGTTATTATTAAGGTGTCCAAATTATTGGTTTATTAAATATTTGCCGTATTTTAATGGCTGGAGGCACTGCAAAATATTGTTTAAGGGATCAGGACACCACCCTAATTATTTAGAATAAATTATATCATAAAACACCACATTTTTTGCGCAAATAAAAAAAAATAGTAATATCATGAGATTTCATGTATGTGCGATTATACATGATTTGTATGAGATTGAAAGAATTTTTACAAAGCAGTTTTTTTAAAAAGAATTGCTGAACCAAAGGGTCAAGCATCCTCTTTCCTGCAATAAACACAGTGCAGTTCTTGTGCCACAGATTCTTTGTTATTTTGCAGTTACATATGGTTTTCATATCTTACTGCCATTGAAGAAGAGTTTCTAGGACAACACACCTCACAATCCTAGGTTTATTTTTTACAGGAGCTTATATAGTGCTGTCAATTTACGCAGCGCTTTTACATATACAGTTAGGTCCATATATATTTGGACACAGGCACAATTTTCAGGTATTTACCAAAACATATTCAAGCTACAGTTATATAATTGATATGGGCTGAAAGTGCACACTCTCAGGTTTAATTTGAGGGTATGTACATCCAAATTGGAGGAAGTGTTTAGGAATTACAGCTCTTAAGAGTAGCCATCTCCCCTTTTTCAAGGGACCAAAAGTAATTGGACAATTGAATCACAAGCTGTTTCATGGCCAGGTGTGGGCTACTCTATTATTTCTTCATCATTTAAGCAGGTAAAAGGTCTGGAGTCGATTCAAAGTGTGGTATTTGCATTTGGAATTTATTGCTGTGAACCTACATCATGCGTTCAAAGGAGCTGTCCATGCAAGTGAAACAGGCCATTGTAAGGCTTCAAAAACGAAACAAATCCATCAGAGAGATAGCTGCAATATTAGGAGTGGCCAAATCAACAGTTTGGTACATTCTAAGGAAAGAAGAATGTGATGGTGGGCTCAGCAACATAAAAAGGCATGGACATCCATGGAAGACAACAGCGGTGGATGATTGCAGGATCCTCTCTATGGTAAAGAAAAACCCATTCACAGCATCCAGACAAGTGAAGGATACTCTCAAGGAGGTGGGCGTATCATATAACGTCTACAAACTATAGTACATATACTGGAATTTTATTTATTTTATTTTATACTAGTAATGGCAGCCATCAGCGACTATATTGCAGCAGACATTTTTACACTGACACTTTGTGGGAACCAGTGAAACTAATACAGTGATCAGTGCTAAAAATATATACTAATCACTGTACTAATGACACTGGTTTTGGAAGGGGCTAACATCTAGGGCGATCCAAGGGTTAAGTGTGTATCTAGGAAGTGATGGATCATGTTCTTAGCTCTGCAGAGATACACGTTTCATGACTCCCCCGTCACAACAGAACTGTATCTATGTAAACACGCACCCCCCTGTGGCGGACATGCAAAATCACATATATATATATACACACACACACACACACACACACACACATACACAAGTGATTTTTCACCAGAATGCTGCCTTGTAGCAGTAAAACTGCTATAGGGTGGATGTTAAGTGGTTAAATATATCCTTAAGCAAAAGCTTGAAAATGTACTTGCTGTACTTGAGGTCATATCTTGAGTGCATGTGTGACCTGGTGTTGTAGTTTAAGAATCCACTGCTCTTTTGTGTTACCTAAAGTTGTCTTAAGTGAGGCAAGATGGAGCAATACAAAATGGTGCATTGATGCATGAGCCCTACCAGACATTCACTTCATGTATCACAGATCAAAGTGTATGCTAAACAATCAATTTGGTTGTTAGATATAGTACCCAGCTGAAAAGAAAGAAAAGAAAGAATTGCCAGATAGAGCACTGAGGGCAGTGTACAGTGTGTTGTTTGAGCCCATTAGGGCTCGTTCACACTTGACTGTTTTACCAACACTTGCCAGACGCCCCTATAGCATTTGGCAAGCCTTGGTCTGGCGTTTGCCAAGCGGTTTTTTAACGCTCGGCAAACGCCGCATGCACGGTTTAGCGGTGGTTGCTAGGCGTTTGCCG